TGGTAGCTGGGACAACAAGTATGAGCCACCATGCCCGGCTAATTTTTCTTATTTTTTGTAGAGATGAGGTCTCATTATGTTACCCAGGCTGGTCTCTAACTCCTGGGCTCAAGTGATACTATTGCCTTGGCCTCCCACAGGGCTGGGGTTACAGGTGTGAGCCACTGTGCCTGGCCTTAACCGTTTCAGCGTACAGTTCAGTGCTGTTAAGGACATTCAAACTGTTGTGCAACCATCACCACTGTCCACCTCCAGAAGTTTTTTCATCTTGCAAAAGTGAAAACTCTGTCCCCATGAAACACTAACTCCCCATTCCCCCTCTCCCAGCTCCTGGCATCCTTCTACTTTCTGTTTCTATGAATTTGACGACTCTGGGAACCTCATATATGCGGAATCATACAAGTATTTGGCTTTTTGCGACTTGCTGCTTTCACTCCGCATAATGTCTTCGAGGTTCACCCATGTTGTAGCATGTGTCAGAATTTCCTTTCTTTTTAAGGCTGAATAACATTCCAGTGAATAACACTCCACGTCTTGTTTATGCATTCATCTGTTGCCGGACTCTGGGGCTGCTTCCACCTTTCGGCTACCGTGAGCAATGCAGCTATGAACATGGTGTGCAAACGTCTCTTCAAGACGCTGCTGTGGATTCCTCTGGGTCTATGTCCAGAAGTGGAATTCCTGGCTCATATGGTAATTCTATTTTTACCTTTTTGAGGAACCTAGTCCAATTAACTTTCACCAGTTCAACACCAATTATGTCACCAAACAGTTTCCCAGATGGCAGTGGCTCTGTGTCTTTCTAGGTAATACAAATAGTGAATTTTGTCTGAGCACTTACTATGTCCCCATGGCAACCCTGCAGGGCGGGTACTAGTATCATCCCATTTGGCAGATGAGGAAGTTGAGGCTCAGGGACTGAGTAACTTGCTCAAGATCACACCCAGCTCACTGGGGGTGGATCCGGGACTCACCCTCAGGTCTGGCTGGTACCAGAGCTCACACGCACAACCGCCAAACTGAACCGTCTGACTGCAGCAGACGCTTTCAGAATCTAAGTTTCAAATGCAGTAAGAAATATGATGTGTCTAAGTCCAAGAATATGGAACGTGATTCCTGTCTTCAGCCTTCTGTGACCTGCACATGAAACAGCCACCACATGGGAGGGTGCTGGGAGAGAACCAGAGAGAAGGGCTGGGTGAGGGACAATGCCAGGCCCTGTGATTCTACAGACATTAATTGAAACCTCCAGAGGTGGCCACACCACTGCCACATTAGAGATGCGAGCAGCCCGCGTCTTGAGGTTCCGTCCCGCCACCCTCCCTACCCCCGCATCTCCCAACCAACAGCGTCCTGGAGGCCTCTCAGGATGCCCCCCTCCATGTCCAGGCTGCTTGGGGACCACAGGCTGGCAGGCCCAGCGCCACCTGCTGCACGCAGAGCACACGACCGGAGAGCCAGGGCCGCGGCACCTGAGAAGGGCCCTGGCCATGGCGGTCTTCCTGTCCTCATTCCAGATCTCAGGGCTACCCCGTGCGACTCTTGGGAAGCATGTAGAGGGAACTGTTTACCAGTTTGATTAAAGGTATCGCGCCATCCGACAGCCCTAACTGTTCTTTTGGAGGATGGCCCTGTCTCCGTGAATGAACCACAGCGCGGTCCTGGGGTTGTCTGATCCCCCTCGAGCCCAAGCCTCAAGTCCTCCCCTCTTTGCTGGTTCCCTTGGCCACTGTGGCCCTAGGCCGTTGTCCCTTCTTAGCTGGATTAGCTTCCAGTGTGTCCTCTCCTTGCTGCCTTAGCCACCCCCACAGATGTGAGTGGCCCCCACCCCCGGGACTGTCTGCTGTGCCCGCCCACAGCCATTTTCCCAGGGCTGCCAAGTGGAGCAAAGGGCACAGGCAGGGGCGTAGGGTGCGGGCCGCCTGCCCTGAGTTCCAGCTTTTACAAAAGCAAATGGCTGCAAACAGGTGTGTTTTGATTACCCAGAGGTGGAATTTGCTCATGTCTTTTTCCGTTTCCTGGACTCTGTTGAGGTCGGCTCTCCCGTCCCAGCTGTGTCCTCACCTGCGTGTGGCCGAGGCTGCCAAGAATACTATTAGCCTTTTCCAGCAGCAGCCAGGCTGTGCCCCAGGAGGCCATGCTTGCCGTTCTGCCCAAGGTCCTATTTTCTCTGGCTCAGGGAGGCAGTTGCTTATGGACATGTTGTTTAAGTTAAAACAATTTAGAACAGACATGCGTGGCTTTTAAAAATCAGAACGCAGGCCGGGCGCGGTGGCTCACGCCTGTAATCCTAGCTCTCTGGGAGGCGGAGGC